GAGCCTCGCTCTGTTGTGCGACCCTCACCACGCTCTGGTGAAAGTGATTAAATAAATAAATCCTTACCAGTTCCCTTACCCTAAAAAGGATTATCGTCCAGAGAGCGTCTTTAAGCTACTGGGAACTACACGTAGTAGAACAAAAAAGTGGGGTTGAGGGAGGGGGGAGACAGCAACACCCTTGGCCTCTTCAAGATAAAGAAACCACCTTTAGGGCAAAACTCGAATTCTGATAGTGGATTTTACCACTTGGTGAAATCAAGCAAGGACAAATGGTAACTACCCGCACCCATGTGAATATAGACTTGTACCTTTGAATGGCTGTGACAACAAATGCCAAACATGAACAGAGCCGGCTAAGGAACTGAACAGCCTGTTCGCTTGATGGTTGAGCCAGATCCTTCAAAACGTTCTGTGGTATGGGATGAGGAAATCCAACACCGTTAAATATCTGTGCACTGGAATTGAAAACAGAGTGATTTTGGTGTCAGATGGAGGTAGGTTGGCACATAACTTTAACCATTTTAGTGATGTTCTTGGAGCGAAAATCAGTTTTAACATACAAAAAGATCTTTGTATCGACCTGAACTGATTAACTGCGTTCCATATTGTCTCAAAAGTTGACAAGACCAGGGCATGAGGATTGCTGTCTGCCTGTGCTGTGTTAATCTCGTGCACAATGCTACTCTCTTCTGAACCCTCTTCAAATCTCAACGAGAAGTTCTGAAAGAAAATCAAGACTTTAATTCGAAGCGACAATAAACTATACTAACTCATAACGATTGATACCTTTGAAGTTTACAAGCAAAATCATGATCAAACACTTAGCAAAGGTAACATGTCATTATTACTGTATCTATCATTCTTTGTAGATGGAAAAAGCCTGGGAACACATTAGAACGAAAAGCCAAGTGTCCAGTTGAAGTTTGCTTGGTACGTATCCATAATCAGCTGTAATGTAGAAAATCAAACTTCTAAGCTACGAAGAGAAATAACAAAACCTCAACCCGTAGATAATATAGCACGACTAGTTATGGCAATATTTCTAACGAGAATAGGTTTTCAAGATGCCGCTTTGTTCTCTACTTACAGTTCCCAATGCACATGCACCCCAAAAGCAGACGCAGCTTGACCCAACTGCAGGCTCGTACAAGCAATGAACCCTACGATTTTTCTGCACCATAGCTAATTAACAAACCTCTTGCACCGTTTCGTTAGAAGAGGATCGTGGGGAATTACCAGTGCCAGGCCCATGGAGCGCTGGGACCTGAGGAGGACCCGTGACAACAGAGGACTGAGCGCCAGTAGACTGTACTTGAACTGAACGAAATTCTTTACATTTTCTTTGCAGGAAGAGAATGGCTGTCACACACTTGGTTATCGCTCCATTGTAACTAGAATAAGTCATACCAACAAAAAACAAGACTTAACCTGAGAGGAAAAAATAAGCTACAAAAGATGTTAATTACAACTGATACGAGTCAGGGGCGAAGGACAGAGGAGAATTGTTTACCACTGGAGCGAACTGAGTTGAGCTCCTCTAAAAGTAAATTCAACGCATCTTTGCAGAAACTTAGTTCAAGAAGCGGAAGTAGACATGAACTTGTCTCTAGGCTATTCCGTGCGTTGTCTCACCTACGAGTCCTTTTTAATCCTAACGCAACGTAAAAATATTGAATATAATCTCCACAAATAGCGAACACGAAGGTCTTCATGAGAGGTTCAATTAGTGAATTATTGTTTGAAACGGGAGTAGAGAGTCTTCAGCGCTCTCTTCGTCACTTTGGGGCGTATCGTCCGGGACAAAAACATGACCACACTACTGTTCCCAGTCTTTTGTTCCACCACAACGTTGAAAAAACTGACTAAGTGGAAAATTTTACTGATGACTTACCATGAACGTTGAGCTATACACTCAAAGAGATCGTGCGCCTGGTCCAATAAAACAGAGGCATTAGCCAAACAGCCAGGAGAACCTAACAACAACAACAAATGAACCACATTATAACAACCAAACTTTTAGGTGCATGACTCTGAANAATGCACATGCACCCCAAAAGCAGACGCAGCTTGACCCAACTGCAGGCTCGTACAAGCAATGAACCCTACGATTTTTCTGCACCATAGCTAATTAACAAACCTCTTGCACCGTTTCGTTAGAAGAGGATCGTGGGGAATTACTAGTGCCAGGCCCATGGAGCGCTGGGACCTGAGGAGTACCCATGACAACAGAGGACTGAGCGCCAGTAGACTGTACTTGAACTGAACGAAATTCTTTACATTTTCTTTGCAGGACGAGAATGGCTGTCACACACTTGGTTATCGCTCCATTGTAACTAGAATAAGTCATACCAATAAAAAACAAGACTTAACCTGAGAGGAAAAAATAAGCTACAAAAGATGTTAATTAAAACTGATACGAGTCAGGGGCGAAGGACAGAGGAGAATTGTTTACCATTGGAGCGAACTGAGTTGAGCTCCTCTAAAAGTAAAGTCAACGCATCTTTGCAGGAACTTAGTTCAAGAAGCGGAAGTAGACATGAACTTGTCTCTAGGCTATTCCGTGCGTTGTCTCACCCACGAGTCCTTTTAATTCTATCGCAACGTAAAAATATTGACTATAATCTCCACAAATAGCGAACACGAAGGTTTTCATGAGAGGTTCAATTAGTGAATTATTGTTTGAAACGAGAGTAGAGAGTCTTCAGCGCTCTTTTCGTCACTTTGGGGCGTATCGTCCGGGACAAAAACATAACCACACTACTGTTTCCAGTCTTTTGTTCCACCACAACGTTGACAAAACTGACTAAGTGGAAAATTTTACTGATGACTTACCATGAACGTTGAGCTATACACTCAAAGAGATCGTGCGCCTGGTCCAATAAAACAGAGGCATTAGCCAAACAGCCAGGAGAACCTAACAACAACAACAAATGAACCACATTATAACAACCAAACTTTTAGGTGCATGACTCTGAAACCGTCGCACAATCTAAGCTTCTCTTCACTGTTAAACATAATGTGATCACCTGATACTAAAACCAAAACAAATTGACTGTGAATTTACTAAATTAAAGTCATTTTTTATAAGCGTTTAGTTATACAGTTAAGTTGTAGCACTCAAAGCTCTCCCGTCATACCGCTGAACATTTATCACCTTTACCTCCACTTCCACTGAAATGCTTTCGTAGGTTTTCCACTGTTGTTCTGATATTCCTTTTAAACACTTGACCGAAGACAGCAATCCAGTGTCTAGGGAAGTTGAAATAAATATAAGTAATAACTGAAAAACATGCACGCTACAGATGTGTTTATGCATAACTTTTGACAAGACTACTAAGCAACAACACAAGAAAAATTCCATTATCTTACTGTGAATCACAAAGATCCTGATCCTGATGGTGACAGATACAGTGTGTACAAAGCGATTATCATAGACATTATCCTTAATAGCAATAACAGGGACGGTGAAACCGAACTTATAGAAGCATGGATGCCCACAATCAAGAAACACAACAGCAGGAGAATCGACCCACATCGGACCTCGCAACAAAATGCGCCAATCACTGCTGTTGTAAACCAGCCAATCAGAGCTGCGTACGATGCTTTGCAAGGTGACGCGCAACGAGTCGAAAGGTCGTGTTCCTGATTGGAAGAGACTACATCTCCTTTACTGTTGTTCATTTTATTACTTTCCTTACTTGTCTAACAACTGAAGGAGATCAGCTAAGGTCCACGGTGGTTTTATGAACACAATCTTGTCCCTGGAACCCAAACAACTCATCTCAGTATTTGACAGGATGCTCTGAGCTTTTAGCCTTATAACTTCAGCTATATCTTCTCGAGAAACCACATGTACAGACATATTAAACAAAAACTTTGAAAAAACCACGAAAAAGAAAGTTGAGAATATTATGCTTTAATCCGGTCCACAATAATCAAGACTCCTATATTGGAATGTCTGCATGAACACTTAGAGCTACAATCAAATCTTACACTGTACCTCTATACAATATTCACGCTGTGTTACTTGCTACTTTAGCATCACACCCTCGAAGTTAAACTAATAACTCTAAGTAAGCGGCATACCAGAGATCTTCATACGCTGCTCTCATTTCAGTCTCCACCACAACAGCTAATCCTTCCCTCATGACACACTGAAGTTCACATACAAGATCATCAGCCTACATGGAAGTAAAACAAGAAGAAACAACTGTAATAGGGTGAGTGGGTGGAGTTGGTTCACATGCGCTTGCATCACCTGGACACAGGTTATCCAATTTTCCGTGGCGTTAGGTCAGAGGGACTATTACTAATCTCCCCTGATGGACTGGATGTTAGACGTTTAGTGCACTACCGTTCGTTTTGGGACTCTTTCGTCTAATTACGTTCCCAATCGACCGCTTTGGGACGGCACCTCCATCCCCCTTGCAGTCGCTATCGTCCGACTCTGTACACTCCATTTCAATTTGGAACACTTTGTTTTTTGGGCGACTAAAATTCCATGTCTGGCGATCTTTTATGATTTTGCGTCGTCAATCTTTGCAAAAAGACTAAGCTTGGAATCTCGTATCGCAGCATACCGTCTTGCATAACATACCTTGGCTCTCTTTTCTGCCAAAACCTCTTGCTTTTGAAGCTCCTTATAATAGTCTACAAAACAGGAAATAGAAACAGCGAAAACTGACTCTTGAAATTATAATCATACAGTAGTAGGTTGACTCGACTGTCTCTGAAGAGAGAAAACGTACTGCTGTGAGGGAATTACCAAACTTGCTTCAACGTGCTTGCATATCATACAGCTTGCAACTTGCACATAAATGACACGTATGTTACATCTAAAACTCACCTTGAAAATAATCTTTCTTTAACACTAAGGCACTGCTCTGGAATAATTCTTTCAATCCTGTGACAAGACTCTAACGCAAAAATAAATAAACAGGTAAATAATCCTTGAGCAGTGATTTTGAGCAAGTCTAGTTAACTTACCTCAATAACAAAATTTGTGATCGAACTAAGTTAGCTAGACTTCTTGATCTCAAACTGTACGCATTTTAAAACAAAGAATATATTTTTCAATATACAGGTACCTGATGATTGAAAGCTTTTATTCCATTAATAATAGCCTTACTGCATAAGTTTTGATCATTAGAGAACAAAACGGCAAATCCATTTTCCGCTGAAAGTACAAGAATCACTATTCAGTTAGTACAGGAACATGTGTGTAGGTTGAAGAACACAAATAGACTTTATCAAAAGACAGTGTATATGAGTACTCATTTGTTTGATAAATCTTTCATTACACTATATGCACAGCCTTGAGAGAAGTGAAATATCAAAGGCGAGGGGTGAGAGGAAAAAGGTGAAAAGCGGAAAGTGGTTGGTCAGGGTTCAGATGCGAGTGTAACCATACTGCACTCATCCTAAAAGACACAGGGGGAAATAAACAGGAGAGGGAAGAATCAAATGGTATTATAGTTTGACTGGAAATGAAAGTATTTTTTCCATCTCTTTTTCCATCTTTTTTGCAACTGTAAAACAAAACACAGACGAATGTCACAGTGATAGGGCACAAAAATACAACGCCATATAATTGACGTCCAATCAGAGACAGGCGATCAAATGGTATCTGCAACTGGTCTGGGAAAAGTAAATGGCTAAAGTCTCTCTGGCCTGTTACCTAAACTTTCATCTTCAGCTGAAAATACTGCTTTTTCTTCCTCTCACCAGATAATTTGCCCCTAGGTCTGTTAGAATGTGCACTGTCTATTCTTTTGATATAACATTTATCAAAATGGAAGGATGATTCAAATCTAAGTAAACAGAACAGAACAGAACAGAACAGATATCCAAAGTGATCCACTGGTGACTGTTTCATATTCTACTCCTTATTACCTCTACTTAGTTGTTTTTATAAATGTGGCAAAGTGACATGTGGACACAAAATGAAATGTCAAAAGTAAATATTGCCCTTTCATAAAAGATATTAAATACGAACACAAGTGAATCAGCTGGTTCAATAAGTTAAATTAGTTAGAGCACCACCCTACAATTGCAAGATGGTCATTGTTTTGTAACTTGTTTAGCCTGAATAATTCAAGTTATATTTGCAGACTGATGCTTTTTGTGCATGTTTCTTATAGTGATCTCTCTTTTATTAATATATACCCTTCCGTTGAAATAATAAACAGCACTGCAGTATCTTGTCATCATTATTAGGATTTTCAATAGTACAGCTCTCCATCATTTCCCGAGCCTGGACAACAAAAATGGATGAGATTTATTCAAAGAAACAGAATTGTTGGGAAAGTAACAAAAATTACTTATTTGAACTTAAGTTGTAAAGTTCTGTGAAGACATAGAGTTCAAGGGAAGGAATTACACCATACTAAGAATTCAAACAGACCTCCACCCTGACTATAGCGTATTTTTTCTCGACTGTTTTATAAAAATTAAAGTCAGTTATTAACAAGCCTATTAAATGACCCAGAAAGCAAAGCCACAAAAATCAATGCCATTTAAGTGGACACAAATTTTTCCCAATACTAGTCAAATTATTTCCATGCAGCACTTGCTAACCACGGGACAAACCTCAGACACTGTCTGTCCTCTAACTCGAGCATGATTAGACTCAAAACAAAGGTGAAGAAATCTGACAGCCTGCCTTGCAAGGATATCAACACCTAGCCTGCCATTCTACAAAAAGAGAAATTATAATTATATTAACTAATAACAAGTGATACATGTTTACAGTGCAGGTAAATTTAAGGCCCATACAGGCTCAGGCAAATCTCTAACATTGTGCAATATTTTCACTAGATAGGTTTGTGGTCCCTAAAGCAACATGGAAATTTCTAACATTACTTTCATTCACTAAAAAGCAAACATTTAGAGTTCCTGATTATGGAGCTCAGTAGGTGTGATACTTTCAGAAAGGTTTTTGTCCAGTACAATCTTTAATCTATCGGTCACTATGTGTGTTGAATTGAGCAAAGAACTCAGTCAAATTAAAGTTACTTTGAATAGTTTCAAACCTGATTTGTGTCAGTAACTAGCTTTCCTCGCTTTATTCTCCATGAATCACTCTGAAAACAAAATAAGAAAATACTACACTTAAAATATGCTATGGACCAAGGCTAGGCATATTTGAATTGAAACTCATTTAAACATATCTCAAACCAAAAAAGCCATTTGGAAAATTTACTGTCTTAATTGTACCACTGCTTGAAAATTTTTGTTGATCACATGCATGTGCATGTACAATGCTTTTTCATTTCCCAAAGAGTCAGAATGCAAAGAAACAAACCAAATTCAAAACATGAAAAAAGGTTGAAGAGAGATAGCAAGTGTACCTTAAGTGAATCTAGTTCCTGAATCACTATCCATGGCACCACAAGAACTGGTCTGGCCACACCTACATGTCAGTGTCCAAAGAAAGTAACAACAGATACATGTAGCCAAAGAAAAAGAAATGTACATGTACATGAAACATCTCAACCCACAATGCTGAATTAAAAACACACTGAACATTGGAAAAAGTTTGTATTAGTGGCTTCCTTGCACAGAGATAAGTACAGGCAATTTTTTCTCAAACAGTCATCCAGCTTAAATGAATACTGGTATGAGTTAAAAGTATTTTACAATATTTATAACAGAAAGAAGTATATTTTGAAATGAAAATCACTACCTAACCAAAGAGAAAAACAATGTGCAAGTTTTCATAGGAGGAAGTGGGGCTAGGGGGCTTTTTAACAAGAAAGGATATATCTTAGATAGGAGACCTATTACAAAATTTGCAGTAAAGGTGTGGGTGAAGAGGATGACAAAGCACAAAGAATGAATTTGTTGGATACTAACACTGGTGCAAATTAAAGTAACTGGGAAATGTCAACAATAAAATCAAAAGCATACTTACCTTCAATGGGAAAGTCTTTTAATTCAGAAATGAGTTTCAGATGTGAGAGTAGGACATTTGTATCCAAAATAACATACAAGGTGTCCTGAAATAAATGATCACTGATTAAATTTTGTCCAGTTTTTATGCAACAAGCTGGTGTTTTTCCAATAACTACATGTCCATAAATTATATGTAAAAACCAGCAAATTCTTATCTGTGTGAGAAAACCATTTTGAGTTTCTTTTTCATTTAGGCCCTGGGAAAAAATAAAACAAATGAAACAAAAGCAAGGGCAGGAATGCAAAATCACCTTGTATGAAACTGCTGAGGGCCTGGATGATTCAGCTTCTACCTAAAGCAAATGAAGCAAACAAACATCATAATGTTAAGATAAGATATACACATTTAAATGGTCAATTTGCGCATATTTAAATCTGTCATATAAAATTTCAAATGGAAGAAATTAGTATATCACTCCTAACATTCAAAAACATTAAGCAGTACAGGCTACTATCAGCAACCAACTACTCTATTAATTAAAAAAAAAACTTCCTTCCAGTATCACTCATAAATATTACAAATACTGAAAGAAATTTACAAGTGAATGTGCACATTGCAACTCACCTTTAAAGGATCTAGAACAAATTCTGATCTGATCCCTTGTAGCTTTAAGAGACAAAAAAGAAATGGCAAAAGATTTTTTTCATTTTTTTGTGTTTTGATTCTGTGTGTGCATGTGGGCAGTTAAAAATTGTTGCCTCTTAAAATGTTCAACACTGAGAGTGAATTGTATACCAACATTTAGTAGAGCGAGATTTAGCAGACCTAGTGGTAAACAATGATGAGTACTCCACAACATGAAAGTGGCAATTTAGGTACATAAATAAAATTGTGTTGGCATCAGTGAATCCACAAAAAAAATCACACCCTTATTATCAAGAGTCTTTGGAGATGATTGCCCGTTCCAGTCCTCTATAACTTCCTTTAACCCTTCAAAGTATGAAAATGGATATTTCATGCCCTCTACAAGAAGCATATTACCCCAGACTGCATTTTCAGTACTACTCAGATAAACAATAACCAAAAAATGCACATTTTTACCAACAGGAAGATAAGTGTAAAACCAATATTATTTTGTAGGATACTGATTTCTCGGTGACTTATGACAAAATATGTCAGTATGCAGGTTCTCCATACTGTACTCAAAACATTTCCTAAGGTGTCGACAAGGTGAATTTGTCTAACAATCAAGAAGTTCTTGAGCACAAAATATTTTCCTTTATTCCTGACCTTAATGTTTGATTACAGGGTGATAAAGCTAGGAGAAATCAGATGCCTATCACTCTTAAGGGCTTAAGCCAACGAATTCCACAAAGCAGAAAGGGAATTCTCGAATCTCCAATGCCCACAGAACATGTTGTACAACACAATAAATACCTCTGCTCTAATCTGATCTTTCAGTTCTTCATAGTTATCAATCTCCATTGCAACATCATTACTATCAAACTGCTGTGGCTTACTGGTCTCTGTTTCGTAAGCAGCATTTCCATAGCTGTTGAAGGATATTTGACTGTCCAGTGGCATTTCTTCCTCAGTTGGTGTTTGATAAGCTACAGAGCTGGTTACTAACTTCTGACACGAGTCTGTTTTGTGAGAATTTGTTCCAGGGACAGTGGGATGACGAGATAATGGACTGAATGGTGTATGAATGGTACTAGAACTTGTTGGTGTTTGTTTTTCTTGCTTAAAATTCCTTGAAATTCCATTATGCAGTGGTACATTTACTCCACTAGGCATATATCCTTTTTTGTATGGATGCGACATATACTTGGAGTCAATTCTTGCATTATGGTTGATTTTGTTCATGTTTATAATTTTCTTTTTCAGGAGTTTACCTGTAGCATTTACTGGAACATTTTGCTCGTTTATTGGTCTTCTGCAAAGCATTTTTAAAGGAAAGTCGTCAACACTAACTTGGTCACTTTCAGCATAGCTACCCTGCACACATGGCTCACTCACACAGCTTCCCTGTTCACTGGGTGTATAAGTTGTGTCTACAGAATCCACCCATGCACTTATGCGATAAGCTTTAGAATTACTGTATATTTGTTCCTGTCTACTGGAATTCAGCATGGTTTCTGTCATCTTTGGTAACTTTTTCTCTTGGCTTGAGTGTCCTGTTGGTGAAGACAGTTTTCCAGAAACTGAATGCTCTGGATTGGGCATTTTGTGCTTCTTGGATTTTTTCTTGTTCTTTCTTGTGCTAGATCCATCACTCCCACACTCTTTCTTTGATACACTTCCTTTGCTCTGTAGGAAAAAAGAAAAGACAGCGAACTTTCATTTCAGCAAGTAAAGTGATTAAGGATTGCAGGGGTTTTGCTTTACTTCACTCAGTAGTTGGCCACAAAAGAATTGCACTTCCTTCTAAATCAATCAAATCTTAGACCAGTCATGACTTTGTCACTCCTATTTTGAATCTAAGTCAGCAAACAGCTTGCTTTATTGTGTTGTTAAGTAACAAAGTATCACACCTCTTTTCTCCAATTAGGGCTGTGCAAATTAGGCCATTCTTGAATCAAATTCATTTTTTTGTTTTTTAGTAAGGACTAAAAAAAAGTGGTGTAAAAACCACCCTTTGTTGTTACCATTATTTGGGTAAAATTCTGGAATGTCAGGGCAGCCAGGCTGCTGAGTTGACTACAAAATGTTGGCAATCATTGTCAAAATAATGTTTGGTGCATTTGAGGACAGTTTTTGAACATTCAAACAACTCACTGGAATCTCAAAACATGGAAAAGAAGTAAATTTATGTTCATATGCAAACTTGAATACTGTAAAATAAAAACAACATGATTTCTAGAGAACTCTTTCATAAAATCTGAAAATTTGATATGAATCATGCTATCAAAGTTCAGGTGACTTGTGCTCTACAAATGTACGTTGAGCTCTACCACACTTACATGAGCAGATGAGTCATCATGGATGGCTGGAATATCAAGTGGAAGCTTCCAGCTTGATTCACGTGTGACAGTGTTAAAATAATAATACTTGTCCTTTCTTGATTTGGACTGGCGACGTATCCAATCGGTTGGAAGCGGTCTGTCATCTACATCAGCAGGGTTCATACTGACCACTCATCTTCTTTGAGACAATAAATATCTGTGAAGTTCAGTGAGAGAAAAATACTGTACAATTTGAACCTAGAATGAAGAGTGGTATACCACTGAAAATTTTTTAGTTATATCAAAAAGATTATTATTATTACAGCTATCAGCTAATGACACAAGATTTAATTTCAAGATGTTATGCACAGAAAAAATTCTATGCTCCATGCTCACAGTGTACACACAAATGAAGGAATCTTTGATCACTTTTGACCCCTTCAATCCCAAGTGTCATTCAAATTAGTAATTCTCTGAACTGTCATGGAATTAGATCAACTAACAATCACCTAATTGATATTTTCTTCAATCTCATGTCTTGGTCACTTATGGTAGTTAATGGGCCTAATGTTCTTATCCACCTTTTGACTTTCCCTCCCCTTGCCTAACCCCAAAACAAATTATGACACAGCACATGTATGAAATTTTCTGTACTGAAACAGTAAGGAGGTCTTGAAAATCTGATAAGAACTTCTAAATTAAAGAAGTCTGTCAAGTATCATTCCATTCTGCATTTCAAGCTTAAGTACTTTTGCATCTGACTTTACATGTGGTTAATCGTTCATTAGTTCTCCAATCTGCATTATGAAATGCAGCATGCATGGAATGATTGAATGATTTTAAATACATTTGATTTTAATTAAATTACAGTAAATAAGTTAGTTAACATTGTGACCGAAAAGCCCTGTTCAAGGGAGTCTCAATAAAGTATGTATGTATGTATGTATGCATGGAGATATACCTTAAACACATTTCATAACAAGTTCACATTTGAGTAAAGAGGGCAATAACATCTGCCACCTAAAATCACACTAATTTGTATCATACCATGAGGTTCAACTTCCAGGGCGCGGACCAGGCAATCACTTTCTTGTTGGAAAAGAAATACTTGCTATTAAATTCAAGCAATGGATTGAGATGGGAAACAGAAAAACTCATTTACTTATGACAGTAACAGGAAGGTTTATTGTTCAAAAATTCGTTTAACTACCACTCATGTCGGAACCAAACCAGCAAAAGGCAAGCAGCAGGTCACGAAGGTTAGTGTGATAATTTTAATTGCGCTGCAGGAGCCACCTCTTCCTTGCAAATGCTACTCGTTTCCGAGGTTCCTCCAAGTATAGATGGAACAAGATACAACTTTAACATGCAATCAAATCTTACCCTCACCAGAAATGCGAAGTCAATCGCTCATTCGAGAGAAATTCCCAAACCACTTCTGACCATCCACATCAAAACATGTGCATACTGAGTAACCGCTCCAGAAGATCGCCCGAATGTAGAAATGCGCGGTCGCTCTGTATTAAGTGGTCAGTTGTCAAAGTAACCTAAATCACTCTAATTTTCACCTCTACTAAGCGGTCACATCAATATAGCAGTCGCTGTCACCCTTTACTAATAGGGACCTTAAGAAACCACGACGGCGACGCCAAGGAAGACTTCGATTGAAAAATTAATTTCTACTCTTGGTTAGAATTTCAAAAATGGCTGCAGGAGCTTACTGTCTCATATAGCGCCACAGCTCAACTTCCGCATGACGA